GGGGGGGGGGGGGGGTTGGGGACACAACACATACAAAGAGAGAGAGAGATTACAGATACACAATACGCAGCAAGTAGGAAGCATTTCCGAACGAAAGCATAAGAAACACAACTTACTCGTTCTTTCATCTTCGGTTTCAACCAGGTGGACATGAGTTTCATGAAAAAGTCCACAATTGTAGGCTCATTGTAATAGATGAAACTTTTCACCCGAATCGGATAACCTTCCTATGGAGTACAAGAAACGTCAGATTGGAGAAAACACCAACTTGAAACAATTTGCTCATCTCTTTACCGCTTTTCGCCGGATTCAATTTTGCAACTTTGGTTGAAGATAGACCGGCCATGTCGAATAGCAAATGCATTCCGGCTATTTGGATCCGGGGATCTTCACACAGGCGATCCATTTGTAGTGCAGCAAATCGGAACAGTGTGTCCGGGGTCATGATTTCTTCATTCCATTGGCCTAAATATGGTCGAACAAATCAACAATTTGAGAAAAAAATTGACCACTAAAACTCGGGGGAGGAGAGACAGTACGGTATGACAACGGATTGCTTTCAGACAATTTATCGCTAAGGTAAACAGCATTTTTCACTAACAAATGGAATGTTTGTTGAGTATTTTTGAATTTAGTTTAAACAATTAAAATTTCTCCGCACCTGTTTTGATCTATTGGTTCACCTCTATTTTCTGGCTGCTAATGGATCAACACTGTAACTGCGCTCATTGTTAAATCAATTGTTGAGGACTCCTTCTATAAACAAGAACCAAAATAATGCATCAACAGACGAGGTGAGGCTGTACCGTCGAGTTACATGCTGTGTCGACTACACGTTTCCTTGTCTATCACCGATGGTCACACTTATTGTAGCTGGAAGAAGCCTGCCAGTGTTTGTGGTGTTCGGTAAAAAGATTATTTTTACCTAAAACTGCCTATTTTCCGAGTATTTCAAATTTAAAAAAAAACAGTTTAAACTTTTTTGGCGCTTTTTCTTGGTGCTAATCGTCCACATCCAGCTGGCGGCCGCTGATTGGTCCATTCTGTAAATTTCCTCATGTTTTGCAATAATTCTCAAGGTCTCTGTGTCCAGAGACCAGAACAGTATATAAGCAGCTGATTTTCCACTGTAAATTTGACTTGCTTCCTGTGTGTCAAGTACACGTTCGCTGGGCACCATCTGTGTTTTGCTTACGTAGCTGGGAGAAGGCTACTAGTGCTCGTGGTGACCAATCTGTGCTGTGATCGTGCTCGCGGGGCTAGACGACCAATGTGACCGTTGAGGTACGCGCTCCGTAGTGTTCGGACCTACCTCGAGTCTCTTTGCGTGTTCGCGCTCTGTGATATCGTGCACGTCATTCGTGAGTGTCCAGTCTGTGTTTCGTCGTTCGCTGTCGATAGTGGGTGCCACTATTATTGTGTTGTGTTGTGTTCATCGACTCCTCTTCGGGTCTCACGCAATTCTGTGTCACTGTACGTCACTGTCATTGTCCTTCCGTGTGTCACGCTTGTGTGTCATCCGGTTACCTTGTGTGATATCTTGTTGTGTGTTACATTGTGATTGATCGGAATCAACACAACAGTGGAGTGCTGCAATCGTGAATTGGGTCTCGAGGACTATTGCGGTTACCGACTTACTCGTCTCGAAGAGTTTGGACCAACCTCTTATTCATGTGTTCTTTCGTTGTACGAGATAGCGCATGCTGTTCGTTGGCGTCCAACTGGTGTCCCTAGCAAACGACTGTTGTGCGTCACCTCGAGTTTTGTGCGACCTTGTGTTGGATACAGTGTGCTTATCTCAGTGTGTGCCTCTTACAAGGGGTGGAGACAGCTCTATCCTTGTGCGAGGATAGTGAAATCAATCTGCTGCTTGATTGCTAGCGTAACCATGCATTTGGCACCTTCAAAGTGTAAAATATTGCTACCAGATTGGGTTGGACCAGCATCCAGGCTCACTCTAACTGGGGAAATAATAGAGCAGACAGATACGTTAGTTATCTGGGCAGCTACATTTCACCCGGTGGACGCATCACGGATAAAGTGTCAACTCTAATACAGAAAGCTCGGTTGGCATTTCCCAAATCGAGACATCGGTGGCGCCGTCGCAACATCCGGCTGTCTGTGAAGAGTCGAGTGTATGCTGCGGCAGTTCGACCAAATCAGCTATACGGAGCAGGAACTTGGATAT